ATAAATGTAAAAATTACTTTTCGTTCACATTAATTTGAACAAAATATTTTGTATTACATCCTCAAACAAATTTAGAAAATAAGAGACGAAGTTATCTGCATGGAATGTAAATGACCTGCTTAAATGACAATGGATTACTTATAATTAAGTAAAATACATTGCGTTTCTAATGAAAATTAGTTAAAATATATATACAACGATGAATATAAAATAATAATTTATATAATATACACATATAATATTTGATTAAATTTCTCGGGCACACGCACCCAGTAAACATACAACAGACAACAGTGTAATAGTAGAATATTGTTATTACATTAACGTCAAATATATATATTTCCTTAGTTATATATCAATTTACTCCCGTAATAGCCACGAGCTATTAATTACCGTAACTCTTGCAGTTAATTATTACACCAAAAATAACATTCATTTGTATACACTCATATTAACTTCAATTATGCTCAATGAACGATACATATAATAGTAGATGAAAGGTAGTTACAGTGTCAGGCCATTTTGGCTCGGGAATGTGAATGCATTTCTTTTTTTTTTTTTTTTTACAAAAATAACTTTCAATATATATCTGAGATCTGTAAGATAATAGAAACAGTGCTGATTCAATTCGGAATTCAATTTAGCGCACGAGTTATTACTAGCAATGTATAGCTAATTGCTAGTGCGTTTTCATACGAATGCACAGGTCCAACATCCTCGTGTAGAAAAGTATCTATGTAAAAAATTTGAAGGGCTAATATTGCTCTAATGCCAGCAAAAATGTAACGTGCAGGAACCATTATCTTTCAGATTTTTGTATGTAACAGTGACGACGGAGTTTGCTTGACAATCAAATCAATTTCCGATATTTGAAAGCGTTACTTTATAATAATACAAAACATTTATCTTAGATTTAAAAATAAAAAAACAATTATTAAAATAGAATTAACAAAAACTGTAATTTCAACATTATGTATAGATATATTAAGAAATAAACTGTAACAAAAGCAATGAAAAAACCAAGATCCATATAGAATTGCAGCGGTTTTACATTAAAAGCTCTAGCCCATCAAGAGCTATAATACAATGAAACAAAAATATATTAACAAGTACTTTTACAAAAAATAAGATTTTTAAAAGTCCACTCTAATAACTTTTATGACAAATGTTTTTAGTGCTACATACTGGTAAAATAGCGCATTAATTAAATTCTCTTTTAAATTTTCATAATTTTTTAAGAACTTTGCACTACAAATAAAGAAAGAATAAAATTTGAAAGTAACGCCTTCATATTCATTTTCGAGTGACTTGGACGCAAATTCTTCCAACTCCGTTAAAACCGGTGAACCTGGTTTTCTCATGAGCAGGAGAGATTAGGAATGCCCTACAGAAATGCACTGATTCCTAAGATGTATCCTCCCTTAAATTTAAGTTACTGGCATATGTACCTGAGGCGATGTGCATATACCTTTCGCGCGTCTCGAAGGTCAGAATGCATTGAGGTGATTATCCGATGTAAGTTACTTAGTATGTTGAAAAACTACATCGAAAATTACTCATTACAAATTTCGAGTTTTACTTTTTACACAAACTACCACAGTTGAGTAGAAGCTCGGTGGCGGATTTAAGAATCAGTTGATTGGAACTTTGGCCTTTTCTTGGGCCTCCAGATTTCGGAAAAGCCAGTTTCCGAAAGAAAATATCTGTGCTTTCTTTGTAGCGAATGTCACGAGTAAACTGTCGATCTTATTTGAAATCCATTTCGTGTCCGCGTGAAACTTCAAATAACGTTTCTGTGTATACAGGTTCTCCCTTATGTAATTGTACCATAGAACTTAGTATATTAAGCAGTGATATTTACTTTTAATTGCCTGGTGGGAACTTCGTTTAGAGATTACGCGCATGAAATATCGCTTGCAGTAAAATAAACACAGCCTCAATAATTGAAGGATTTGGGGAAAGAAGTATTAAAATATATATATATATATATATATGAATATATACATATATATATGTACATGTATATACGTTCTAGAATTCTCTTGAGGTATGCGTTATTTTATATCTCGCGAGTATACAGTGCTTGAATCCAATATATCTCGCATACCGTTTACAATCATACATGCTAAAAGTTTCTCAAAACTTGAAAGCATAACATCAGAATGTAGAATTACAATTATGCGACTGTTGCGCGAGAAATTACGGAATCTCTTACAAAATACTTTCAATATCCTTTGCTGCTACAACAATTCAGAAAAAACATTATGAACATTGCTTTTTTTTGCAGAAAGGTATCAATTTACTCTTTCCCTAAGTCACAACACGACTGCATCGTACTAGCGTGATTTGACAACATGACGTGCCCAACCTTTATAACTGAAAATTTCAAGATAAACAGGCATCATCTGTAGAAATATATCAAAGCGTATTATTACTGAACGCGTATACTGAAAAGCTAATCATCTAACAAAGAGATAATTTCTTTTTAATTGGAGATACATGTTTTTAATCCTCTTCTTTGTAATCCTCTCATTCCTCAAATGAATTTTTGAATTTAGATAAAAGTTTATTTTCTTGTATATAACGTCGAAATATTGCATAAGTAGTACGATACTAAAGATACTACTTGCATGAAATCTAGAAATTATAATCTTTTTAAAATTCAATTTTAGAATTCAAATAATCAAAATCAGTTTCAAATGCTTTATGTATCTTTAATAAACGTAGTATAATAGTTACGATAGGAATGAGAGACTCAATAGAAAAAAATCGAGAAATTACGAGATATCAGTGCGATAACTAACTTCGGATGCCTTTAACAGCTACGTCTCAGCGCTCGCCAAACGCGACTAATATCCCATTTCATCTGGAGATACCGCGAAGGGCGGATTTTAATGCGTCTCACATATCAAAATGATAAAGCGCGTTATCATAACGTTCGATCAGGATTTTCCTGATAATACGTGACAGAGACCTAAAATTTGTATTGGGTACCCCCAAGTTCATTTCATTCGGCCGGTGTACTTGCCGCCCACCTGTCAAACTCGATTCCTGAGTCGGGACTGAGTCCCAGATCAATGGGACTCAGAAAACTGGGCGCTGGACAATTGCAGGGCCCATTGGGCCGACATGCCCCGATGCACCTTTGATCGTTATTCTTGTTTTCTCCCCCTCGGTCCCTCAATTCTTGCTCGAAACTGTGTAATTGCTCCATAAAGTGAAAATTCGGTGCAACATTCGATTTTCTACTACGTACTAGGTTGAAAGCATCATTCAGACTGAGACTGCACTTGTGCATAAGATAAGCCACGGTGATCGTGACAGACCGAGAAACTCCGGCCAAACAATGTACCAGTACTCCCTTATCTGAATTTCGTGCCTCCTCTGAAAAATACGCAACAAATAGCGATTTTAATTTTACAATTGTGCAATCATCATCTCACTTATTATTACGCCGATTTTTAATATTTATATGTATTTCAAGAATTTTTTTAATTACACGAAATTATGAAATATGCAAGACATAAAATTATTTTACAATGATTTTTCAAAGTATGAAAGTCGAATTTTACAATTAGTTGATATTAGAAAAATTGAAAAATATACTTTAATATTAATATCGTTAAAACATTGAGATATAAAATCGTTAAGAGTTTTATTATCTAAGATATACAAGTAGAAGATATTAATTAATTATGTTTTTTTACATTATGTTTTTAAGTACATTATTATTTTTCGATATATTCAATGTTCGTTAATTAGAAAAGTGTATATAAAAATATTACAGAAAACAGTGCATGTCATGACCAATTCGTTTAAATGGAATTAACAAAGAGAAGTCGGATCCTCAACACTGCAATATGTCGGAATAATCAAAAATGCCAAACCGGCTCAA